ACGGACAACACCTGATCTGCTTAACCTTCTCAGTGTCTACAAATTATACTCTGAATAAAAACCTCAACATAAAATCTAGAAATGGCTAACACTAAGGATCCACAGCCACACCCACAGGAAGGGCATCAGCACCCACCTCCACCCATGGCTCTGCACTGCACCCCCCTTCCACGGCTCAGTAGCTCTTCTTAGGAATCTACTTCAACGACTCTGCTCTGCAGGGTAAGCCCTGGGATTGTATTTTATTTTATTTTTTTAAATATATTTTATTGATTTTGTACAGAGAGGAAGGGAGAGAGATAGAGAGCTAGAAACATCGACGAGAGAGAACCATCGATCAGCTGCCTCCTGCACACCCCCCACTGGGGACGTGCCCGCAACCAAGGCACATGCCCCTGCCCGGAATCGAACCCGGGACCCCTCAGTCTGCAGGCCAACGCTCTATCCACTGAGCCAAACCGGTAGAATGGGATTGTATTTTAAAACTCTCCCAAATAAAACAACCTCAGAAACTTACTACACATGCTCAGGAAGGGTGCAAGAAAGTTCTAGAAATGGAATGAAATACTGAAAAATATATATATATTTTTTTTAATTCTCCTCTTTTTGCTTATTTGGAACTCTTTTCTTTTCTTTTTTTTTAATATATTTGATTGATTTTACATAGAGAGGAAGAGAGAGGGAGAGTTGGAAACATCGATGAGAAAGAATCATCGATCAGCTGCCTCTTGCACACCCCCTACTGGGGATGTGCCCGCAACCAAGGTACATGCCCTTGACCGGAATCGAACCTGGGACCTTTCAGTCCACAAGCTGACATTCTATCCACTGAGCCAAACCAGTTCCGGCTTTGGAACTGGTCTTTTATATTGTCTTTCAGGTTCTAGTGATTAATTACATTTTACTCCTATTAAAAACAGACTTAGCCAGGCCTGCGTGGCTCAGTGGTTGGGAGGTCAGGGTTCCTTCCATTCCTGGTCAGGGCACATGCCAAATCCCCAGAGTGGGGCTCGCAGGAGGCAGTCCATCAATGATTCTCTCTCATCACTGATGTTTCATCTCTCTGTCCCCCTTCTCTGAAATCAATTAAAAGGTATTAAATATATATTTAAAACAAAACAAAACAAAACAAAACAAAACCTGAGACTTAAATAAGTCAGTGTTTTCAAAGTGACCAACCCAGGGAAGGGGCCACGCTAACTCGACACAACACCCAGGGGGCTCCCCGTGTGTCTGTGCCCCGGGAAGGGCCTGGGGGGGGGGAGGAACAAGGACTTGATAGTCTTCTAGGTCAGTGTTTCCCAAACTTCTCTCATGAGGAGAATCACCTGGTGGAGTTGTTAGACTACAGATTCCTGAATCCCAACTAAGAAGTGCTAAACAATTTTACCTAGTATATGTTCCCAAAAATTCTAGTTTAGCACTTCTTAGTTGGGATTCAGGAATCTGTATTTTAACAACTCCACCAGGTGATTCTCCTCATGAGAGAAGTTTGGGAAACACTGCTCTAGGTCAGTGTTTCCCAAAGTGTGGTTCGTGTACCCCCAGGGGTCCGGGAAGAGTCTGGTGGGGGTACGCGTTGCACCGGAGTTTGGTGGGGATATACACTGCACCGTGCTTAGCTGCGCCTAATTCTACGTTCTCATGAGTACGAGGGGTACTCAGCGTTATGGAAATTATAGAAGGGGCACACATATGTCAAAAGTTTGGGAAACACTGTTGTAGGTGAATACTCTCTGCTTTCCTCTAACGCAAAATGTCCACACAAATAGAAATCTCTAAAGAGCTGAAACCGTTTGGCTCAATGGATAGAGCGTCGGCTTGGGGACCGAAAGGTCCCGGGGTTCGATTCCGGTCAAGGGCATGTACCTTGGTTGCGGGCATATCCCCAGTAGGGGGTGTGCAAGAGGCAGCTGATCGATGACTCTCTCTCATCGATGTTTCTAACTCTCTATCTCTCTCCCTTCCTCTCTACAAAATCAATAAAATATATTATAAAAAAAAAAGAAATCTCTAAAGAAGAGCATTCTATCATTATTCCGTAAATAAATAAATAAATAAATGAGGGGAGAGGGTATCAATCGGGGGGAAAGAAGACATATGTAATACTTTAGACAATTAAAAAAATTTTTTTTCAATAAAATATGATTCTCCCTCCCCCAACTGGTGGGCAGAGTTATGACATTACTGGCATCTGCCACAGAGACATCCCGATCCACCAATCAGCGCGTGCCCAAGTGCCCTGGTGCCCATCCCTCTCCTGTTCCCCCTGGGTCCAACCCTCCCCTGTTCCTCCCCCTCAAAAGATTCCCCGGACCAGCGGCAGCCCGGCTGGGTCCTGTCTCCCCTCCCCACTCCTTCAATTCTGATTTCTCTACCTCCGTGATGAGTCCCGCTCACGACTGGGGAATAAACTTGAACATATCTTGGTGGTCAAGTTCCTGCGCCTCAAACTTTACAAAATAAACAAAACGTTGGGTGTGTCTGAAACGCATCCCGGAGGACAGACAGCCGATCATGACGCTGTGATCATGACGCTGTCCTCGGGAGGAAAGCTGGTTGTGGGAATTGGAGGGCTGACCCTGGAATGCAGAGATTTTCCGCCAGTTTCAGTCCCGGCCAATTTGGGGGACCAGGGTCCAGGGTCTGCCTCCCACACATGTAAGAAAACTCAAAGGAAGACGGTTCCCCCCGAGCAGGATGGAGGGACTGGGGACCCCACAGACCTCAGCCGCTCCCCTGCACACGCCCCGCAGGCCAAGGCACAGTGGTCCCGGCTGGGCGTGGGCCCTGCCCGTGGGCCCTGCCCGTGGGCCCCGCGCCGCCCACAGAGGCCCCGGCCTAACGGAACCCCGGTCCTGGCTCCGAAGGGGGCGCCGTGCCAGCGGAGCCCCCGCGGAAAGCGGACCCGGCCCGCAGGCCCGGACTTGGCCGAGGGGAGGCCGGCCCGATCACAGCCGGCCGGCTCCAGCCAGTTCCAACCAGCCCCTCCTCCCCGGGCCTCGCCGGGCCCCCACACTCACCATGTCCAGTTCCCTAGGTCTCCCGGGGTCCCGCACAGACTCCTCCCGCGTGCGGGTCACAGTGCCGCAGAGGCCGCAACCGAGGCGCCGGGACCGGAAGGGAAAGGCTACCAGCTGTCCCCAGGCGGGCTGAGGCGGAGAAGTCCACGCCCCCGCGGGGCCTCGCCCCACCCACCTGTCCCAGAAGCACCCCTGATTGGACAGTTTCTGACGAAGCACCGCCCCCTCTGCCTGAGTGACAGCCCTCCGCAGGACCTTGGCCTCCGACTCCAAACAGAACTGGGTTCCGGCCTGGCTGGGGCTGACTGCGCCGTGTCCGCCCGGCGCGTTGGGAACACGCTGGCGCAGGTGTGCACAGGGGATTCCTGGTTCCGCTGCCAAAGGGTGCACGTTAGCACGGAACCGGGCCAGGTCCAGGGCTTGTTGCAAAGGCTGTCAGGCCTCTCCTGGCATGAAGACTCCTTAGAAACACCGCCTAAGGTGCCCTCACCGTCTGTAATCACGAGTCTGGCTCCATTTCGATTTAAAAAAAAAAAAAAAAAAAAAAAAAAAATATATATATATATATATATATATATATATATATATATATATATATATATATATATATATATATCTTATTAATTTTTTACAGAGAGGAAGGGAGAGGGACAGAAAGCCAGAAACGTCGATGAAAGGGAAACATCGACCAGCTGCCTCCTGCACACCCGTAACCCGGGATGTGCCCGCAACCAAGGCACATGCCCCTGACCAGAATCAAACCTGGGACACACACACACACACACACACACACCACCAGCCCGCAGGCTGACGTTCTATCCACTGAGCCAAACCTGCCTTGGCTCCATTTCGATCGTTGATGCTTCCCAGCAGTCCCTTCCTCACCCCCAGCCATTCTATCCTTAAGAGAAAGAATCTAAGAGCACTTGGCTCTGGTGGGGAGTTGGAAGCCTGCTGACCTAGCCAGGGTGCAGGAACTCCTAGTCTAACCACAGGGTGTGAGATGTGTTCATTATATCTTTAGCTGTACACGTTGCATTGGTAGGAAATTGAGTTTACTTTTTGCCTGTGTCTCTAGAGATCTCTGAAATGTAAACGACTAAATATCCTAAATATCCCGAAGGCAACTGATTTTTCCATGTTCACTGACATAAGAAAAACAATAAATGGTTATATAAACTTGATACGCATCTGGAAACTTTCTCCTCTCAGCTTTATTGAGGTATAATTGACAAATCAAATTGTCTCTATTTAAAGATCACAACATGAGTATTTATATATATATTAGACTATATATATAAATACTGATATATATATATATACACACTAGACTGTATATTTGAAATTTGCTAAGTGTGGGTTAAGCTTTCTCATCACACACATATACACAAAGTAACTGTGAAACAATGGATATTTTAATTAATCTGGAAGCACTTATATGCCTAAATGATTGGATTGCAAAACTTTTAATGCATTTACTTATTTATATGAACAGCAATATGATATATAATGCACATGTTATACAGTGCAACCCACAGAAAATGTACAATTCAACAGGTTTTAGTATAGTCCCAGGTGTGTGCAATCATCCCCACAGTTTTTAAACATTTGGCCTCTCCAAAACGAACTCCTCTGCACTTTGCTATACTCCCAACATCTTTAGAAACCGCTAACCTACCTACTGTCTCTAAGTATTATTCATGCATACGGTACTCAAATGAACAGAATTATACACTATATGATCTTGTGATTGGCTTCATTCACTCAGCATAATCTTTTTCAAGGGACAGCCATGTTGTAGCATGTACCAACACGTCTTTTGTTTTTATGGCCAAATAATATTCCATTGTATAGGAAAAACACTTTATTTGTTCATCTGTTAAGAGACATTTTGTTCTTACTTTTTGATTGCTATTTAATAACACTGTTCATTGCAAGGACACTGGTGGGTAAGAAAAACATGCAGTTTTAGCTCACTCCAGCTTGCCCTCCGAGCGTAGGCGCCGCCACCGAGGCCGCTGCCGGGAAAGGTGTCAGTGGGTTTGCTGGTGTGTCTCTCCGGGTCGGTGTCGGTGCCCTTGAACTGCCCGCCATGGCTCGCCTAGACCCGTCCGGCGACCCTGCCGGCACTCCCGGCGGCCCCGCTCTGCGGAACGGGGTGGACCCGGCTTTGGCCTTCCTGGCGCAGCAGGAGAGCGAGACTGCAGGCATCGAGAACGATGAGGCCTTCGCCATCCTGGACGGCCTGGACGGCCTGGACGGCGGCGCCCTGGACCCCAGCCGCACGGGGACCCCAGCCGCCGGGGAGTCCGGATGCTGATGATGGAGTGATGAATGGCGAATACTACCAGGAGAGTAATGGCCCAACAGACAGTTATGGGGCTATTTCACAAGTGGATCGATTGCAATCAGAGCCTGAAAGTAGTAACCGTAAATGGAGAGAAGAACTAACGGAACGCTTGGAAGCCCTGGATGCCAATTCTCGGAAGCAAGAAGCAGAGAGGAAAGAAAAGGCAACAAAGGAGCTGGAAGAGTGGTATGCGAGGCAGGATGAGCAGCTGCAGAAAACAAAAGCAAACAACAGGGCAGCAGAAGAAGCCTTTGTAAATGACATCCACGAGTCATCCCCAGGCACTGAGTGGGCACGGGTGGCCCGCCTGTGTGACTTTAAGCCTAAGTCCAGCAAGCAGGCCAAAGACGCCTCCCGCATGCGTTCCGTCCTCATCTCCCTCAAGCAGGCCCCCTGGGGCACTGAAGAGCCACGCTGTGGAACACTACACCTGCAATATCTTAATCCTCTCAGGGAAGCTCTTCACCTAATTGGATTAATCATGTTGAGTTCTTTTGGACCAAACCTTTTGTCTTTAGAGTTACTCATTGTTTGTGATTGCACGTTTCTTCCTTCGCCTGTGTTCTCCCGGGCAGAGGGCCGGAAGAGGGAAGCCTCCCACTGTGGCCTCAACCTGTGCTTTTTGTGCATTATTCTGGGAATAAACTTCTGTTTCAAACAATAAAAAATAAATTAAATTAAAATTAAATTTAAAAAATATGCAGTTTTAACGGTCTCTCTTTTTAAATATTTTATTGATTTTTTATAGAGAGGAAGAGAGAGGGATAGAGAGTTGGAAACATCGATGAGAAAGAATCATCGATCAGCCGCCTCCTGCACACCCCCTACAGGGGATGTGCCTGTAACCAAGGTACATGCCCTTGACCAGAATCGAACCTGGGACCTTTTAGTCCGCAGGCTGACGCTCTATCCACTGAGCCAAACTGGTTTCGGCTTAATGGGCTCTTTTTATATAAAAAGCTATACTAGGATGCTCCAGAAATCCAACGCTGGTTATTAAGGATGGCTGAAGCAAGAGCACTGGAGGGGACCAGGATACCTCCAGTGGTAAGTCTACTTTAAACCTCATCTAACAGATATTTGCTGACCTTTTCATAAATTGTTATTTAAAGCTAGAGGCCTGGTTCACGAATCCATGCACCAGTGGGGTCCCTCAGCCTGGCCTGCAGGATCTGGCTGAAACCAGCTCTCTGACATCCCCAGAGGGATCCTGGATTGCAAGAGGGTACAGGCCAGGCGAAGGACCCCCACCAGTGGAGATCAGCTGGGAAGGGCTAAGGGAGGGTTCCAGGGCATGTCTGGCCCATCTCTCTCAGTCCTGATTGGCCAAAGCCCAGAAGCAAGATAACCTATTGGTCAGAGTATCTGCCCCCTGGTAGTCAGTGCACTTCATAGTGAGCGGTTGAGTGGCCTTAGCATATCATCAGCATATTACACTTTGATTGGTTGAATGGCTGACCGGACAACCAGACACTTAGCATATTAGACCTTTATTATATAGGATAAACTGAGTAATCAATAAAGTAGACCAAAACCAAAACTGGAATAAGAAGGGCCTGTAGGGGGAGCTCTCGCACCCTATGTAGATTGAGAAGCTAAACAGGAAGAATTGTTTGTTTATAATAACACTCCTAACTTCCTCTTTCTGTTTATAAAAGTTTCCTTTTCATTGTGTTAGCAGCCTTGAATGTGACTCACCAAGATTTCTTATGCTGAATTGCAATTCTTTGTTGTTCCCAAATAAACTTACTTTGTTGGGAAAATATCTGGCTTTTTGTTTAAGGTCAACACATTTGGTGTCCAGGACAGGCATTCAAGGAAGATCCCTGATAACTCCAAAGCTGGTGAACATACAGGTGTGATGTCCACAGAGCTCACTGCACTCACTGCTTTCTCATCAATCAGCTGCCTTCTGCACAACCTCCCCACATCCCACATTCTCCCCCCCCCCCCCCCCCCCCTGCCCGCCATCCTCCTACTGGGGATCAAAGCCTGCAACCCATGCATGTGCCCTGCCTGACCAGGAATCGAACCAGCAACCAGCGCCCAGGACAACGCCCAACCAACTGAGCCACATCAGCCAGAGCTAGGAAATCCTTCTAACTGCTTCTAACGTAACTCTCACATTGTAATCACCTTAACCCTACTAACTTTCCTCCCCTCCATTAGCCACAAACCCCCTCATGTCTGCTTAACACTGCTGATCACCTGCTGAACCCTCAAAATAATCTGAATCTGCAGGAAACTCCTCTGGTAAGCAGACTCCTTTGGTTCACTGATGGTTCTTATGTAAAAAGGGGCAATGGCAAGACTGTGCTGAATCTATAATATCAACACCCTCTGGTGTTACTGAAGCACTCCTTACTTCCCTTGTCCCAGTTGCCCAAAGTATAACCCAGAGAGACCTTTTCGCACTAATAGACTTTTTATCTTTTTGTTATCACCTGAGGATATTTTTCCATTGATTTTTTTAAATAGACATGGCGCTTTTTTATTTATTTATATATTTCATTGATCTTTTACAGAGAGGAAGGGAGAGAGATAGAGAGCTAGAAACATCGACCAGCTGCCTCTTGCACACCCCTTACCCGGGATGTGCTCGCTCTACCACTGAGCCAAACCGGTCTCGGCTCCATTGATTTTTAAAAAAGATATTTTATTGATTTTTTTAGAGAGAGGAAGGGAAAGGGATAGAGAGTTAGAAACATCGATGAGAGAGAAACATCGATCAGCTGCCTCCTGCACACCTCCTACTGAGGATGTGCTTGCAACCAAGGTACATGCCCTTGACTGGAATCGAACCAGGGACTCTTCAGTCCGCAGGCCGATGCTCTAGTCTAACTGGTTAGGGCTCCATTGATTTTTAAAGAGTGGAAGGAAGGGAGAGAAGGAGGGATAGAGGAAAAAAAAACAAACAAACACAACTTTGATGTGATTGATTGGTTGCCTCCTGTACATGCCCTTGACCAGGAACCGAACCCTTGACCCTTCAGTGCACCAGCCACTGAGCAACTCTAGCCAGGATGGCTCCCAGATATTTTAAAGTACCTAATGGACCATTGAAAGTTTAGCAAATGAATTTCATACAGTTTCCCTGTCTCACTGACATAAGTATGTTTTAGTCATGATCTGCATGTGTTCTCACTGGACTGGAGCTTTCCCTGGTAGACAGGCTACTGTGAATTCATTTTCCTGGGAAACAGTGTAGATTTTTTTTTCTTTCTTTTTTTTTAAATTGATTTTAGAGAAGAAGGAAAAAAGAGATAGAAACATCATTAATGAGAGAGAATCACTGATTGGCTGCCTCCTGCACTCCCCACACTGGGGATCAAGCCCACAACCTGGGCATGTGCCCTTGACCGGAATCGAATCTGTGATTCTTCAATCCACAGGCTGACTCTCTATCCACTGAGCCAAACCAGCTGGAATAGCCTTTTAAATGTCAAACTTTACTAGAGACACGGATATACAAAAATTGAGCTAAGGTGAAAAATTCACATCAAAACTAAAATACAGACAAACAAACACCTTGGGTTTTCTAGTACTTACACATATGGACCCAAAATTAAATTTGGTTCCACATTTTTCTGGCCTTACTCAGACCTTATCTCTCAATCAAGTTACATATTAAAAGTTCAAGTGCTGCCGAAACTGGTTTGGCTCAGTGGATAGAGCATCGGCCTGCGGACTGAAAGGTCCCGGGTTCGATTACGGTCAAGGGCACGTACCTTGGTTGCGGCACATCCCCAGTAGGGGGTGTGCAAGAGGCAGCTGATCGATGATTCTGTCTCATTGATGTTTCTAACTCTCTATCCCTCTCTCTTCCTCTCTGTAAAAATTCAATAAAATATATTAATAAAAAAAAAGTTCAAGTGCTAATGAAAACTAGAATTAAAGGACTGCAATATTCAAGGAAGAAGGAATTCAATGAGAACCCCCCCCACACACACACACACAAATATTAGAATGGAAACAGAGAATAGCTTCCTTAACTCCAGTGCAGAAGGAAACACGACATTAAAAAAGTTGAACATATTCCTGAACTTAGGGTTTAGATCAGTGGCTCCCTCCCTCTTTTTGGCCATGCCCCAACCTAAGCATCTCTAAAATCCTGATGCCCCCCTGTGACATATAATTCTTATTATCCCCAGCAGGGAGTGTGCAAGAGGCAGCTGATCGATGATTCTCTCTTGTCGATGTTTCTCTCTATCTCTCTCTCTTTCTCTCTGTAAAAAAATCAATAAAAAATATTTTTAAAAAATACATATATATTCAAACACACACACACACACACACACACACACACACACAAAAAAAAGAAAAAACAACAACAACAAAAAACATAACCAACCTTAAAAAGGGCATCATCACCCTCTTTCCTTGTTCACCTGCACTCCCAGCATTCCAGGGCTGTAGCTTCTCTCACTGTAAAAGCCCTTGCTTCCCTTCTGCTCCCCCCACCCCCACCCCCACCACACCAGCTCTTTGTGAAGGCCAGGGCACCAGGGCACAGGGAATTCAGTTTCCAGATGCAGCGAGTAAGTACAGACGGGAGGGTGGCCCAGGCTAGGACTGATGGAAACCCAGGAAAAGAGTGAAGATAGGGAGAATACATATTGGAATCACTTTAACCAACCAAGCTGCTAAATTATTAACATTATGAAGGTCGAGGCATGAGGAAATGATCTTCTTTCTTGTTTTAACTTGCTGGGGAACTTAAACTTTTGAACTTTCCAGACCTGTGCCAATCCCCGGACATTAATCTACTGGCAGATAAGCTTCTGACTGTCCCCTGAAGGTCTCCGTCGTCACCAGACCTCCAGGCGCCCGTCCTCCAGCCCACCTGGCTTCCATCATCCAGACCCCCGGACATCTGCCTGACAAGCCTCCCGGGCCAATCCCAGAGCTAAGAATGCAGCGCAGGTTTTTCTCCACCACGTGAGTCTACTCTGCCAGCTCTTCGCTTGTATGTCTTCTTTGGAACACTTCTGGGCGTTTGCCTTGCCTATCTGTGTTTCCAGTTTGCAATAGGATTGTGTGAGGATTAAATGACTTAAAGTAGTGGCATTAGTGTTTTAAAAATGAATAAATATCTATCATCACACACACACAAAAAAAGCTCCTTGAATAAGTTTTTATTATTTATTTCTAGCCCCACCCTCCTTTTGCATTTACACTTAGTTGACAAAACAAAAGAGTCTTATGTCATCGAGGGGTCAAGAGCTTGGCCTAGAGCTGCAAAGTCACTCAAGTGACTCTTTTTTTTTTTTTTTTAATATATTTTATTGATTTTTCACAGAGAGGGATAGAGAGTTAGAAACATCGATGAGAGAGAATCATCGATCAGCTGCCTCCTGTACACCCCCAACTGGGGATATGCCTACAACCAAGGTACATGCCCTTGACCAAAATCGAACCTGGGACCCTTCAGTCCGCAGGCTGATGCTCTATCCACTGAGCCAAACCGGTTTCGGCTCGAGTGACTCTTAATGTGACACAGACACTTAGATGTGATTTCATCATCTGTAATAGAGTGGCTTCTTTTCAATCTTTGATTCTTGACAGCCCTGAGCCTTCTACCCATCCCATCCCTATCTCCTCTCATTTTGCCCTTTTAGTAAGAATCTCAGCCCTAGCCGGTTTAGAGCGGTGGATAGAGCATTGGCCT